CCCCCCCCCCCCGGTCCCTGCCCACAGAATCGCACTCGGCTGGGCGGGGCCACATGCTCGTTGTTTGTCCGCCGCCGCTGCCTCGATGCAGTGGCGGGTGCGCTGCCGCTCGCTTCACCACACCACTCGACGATGCATGGTGATCACCTGTCAAGCCAGCCAGAACACAGGCACATTGACAGCTACAGTCCCTCGGGTCGTCGTCGGTGCGCTCCCTGGGGTTCGCGTCCGCCGTCCCGATGCACCTCCCTCCGTGGTTCGCCGCCACCGCCCGCTCGCCTCGATCTCGTTCCTCCCATCCACCTTGGCGCTTCCACGCAGCGGCACCATCCACTCCCGCTCCCATTGTCCGGCGTTTCGTGCCTCCAATCCATCCTTGAGCCATGCCGAGACACTCTGCTTGTACCAAATCGCTGGTACACCCCAGCACATCCGCCAACACTCCGCCATGCCACGCTGCCTTCACTTCCGGCAAAGCCCCCCAGGGCCTGGATCCTTTCCGGGACCGTCGGCGTCTCTCTTCATGCACTCCGCCTGATTCTTCCCCTCCTCCTTCCCTCCTCCCTTCAACCATTGTCTCCTCACCGAGGGACACCCTTGCATCCGGTGTTCCATTCGCTCCGCCGCAGCCGGGCGCCGATTCTGGACCCCCCTTCCCCTCCCCCGTGTGCCTTTGAGTCGACGTCTCGGCCTCCACCGAGGCCCAGCCTTGCTCTTTGCATCCTATCTCATCCTCCTCATTCTCACAGCTGGTACATTGGCAGAAACAGCTCGTTTTGTTCGCCGTCCGTTCCGCAATCACCTTAGCACAGACATTTGGTTTCTGGCGGCGACGGCCATGGATCAGCTCTCCATTCGCCGCTTCAGTCGCTGTACCACGTACCACTACCAGCTTTCGGCTGGTACACGCTAGATACCCCACTTTGGTCCGGCTCCCGTCTCATGCTCACTTGACGCTTTGTTTGGGTTCTCTCTTTTCTCTCTCTCTCTCTACCACTCTGTCGTTCTCGTTGTCTCTCCATGGTACCCTAGCTGGCTTCTTTCCGTACCACCAACTTCACACACTCTCGCCTCTTCATACACGATCTCTCTTGGAGGCCAACCATCCTACGACATCCTTAGCTCCGACACTCACCCTACCGACGTCTTGAACCTCGATCGCCACACTGAGGTCGCCATCACCTGTCGACGTTTCTCGACCACGCATCGATCGTGACCGTTCCGCCAGCGAGGTCGCAAGCGCGCGACCAACCGACTTCACCATTACCGCCCTCTGCGTAACGCACCAGCCTCACCGCTGGGCCCACTCGCCCTTCAGCTCGGGGCGCCAAGATCCAATGGCCAATGAGCACGACTCGGACCGAGGCAGCTTTCGCTACGCCCCTCGCGACGCCGCCTGGGAGCCTTCGTATCGCCCCTCGCCCACCGCCCACACCGACAACCACCCGCACGCCGGTGCACAGCATCAGTACGATGCTTATGCACACGAGCGCTCGCGATACGCTGCCCACCCCCAACACCAGCCGATTCTGCCACGATATCCACAGCACCGATCGGCACCGCGCGACGAATGGGCACGCACCTCGGCGCCTGCCTCGCCGCATGATGCAGCTAGGCCGTCGGAGCGCCACCGCTCGCAGCATGCAGCTGCCACGCCCGACCACGCGCATGCAACGCCTGGGTTCCCGAGTCGCTCCGAATGGCTCGTCCTGCCCAGCGTCACACAAGCACTCAGTATGTATGGCGACAAGCGTCGACAGGAGCCGCGCTTCTCGCTCGTCATCCGCCAACAGCCGCGACGCGGTCTCGCTGTCGGCAACAGCCAGATGTCGCTCCGCACCGCCCGCTCGATCCCCATCGACCCCCCACCCGTCTGCGAGCTTCTGCTCGACCGCAGTGGTGACGAGCAACTGCTCTCGCTGCCGGAAGTGTTCATTCGTGCACAGCTCGTACGCGGCGATTCGCCCAATGACGAGTGTCTGCCCGACGCACGACGAATCGAGCCGCTCGTGGGAGACACGCTGCAGAGCGCGTTCAACTCGCGCATCGACACGCGCGAGGACCAGAGCTTCTTTGTCTTCAAGGAGCTCGGCGTGCGCAACCGCGGCGTATACCGTCTGCGCTTCGACCTCTTCGACCGCGTGGGCGTGCGCATCTTCAAGATCGCTTCGGTCTACAGCGATGCCTTCGAAGTGCACGAGCGCAGGAAACACCCCGGACTGTCGGCTTCGTCGGTGCTCATGGATGCGCTGGTCGATAGGGGGATGAAGTACAAGCTGCGCAAGGCGAGCGATAAGCACGCCAAGAAACGCAAGTCGCCCGAAGACTTTTACTACGGCGACGAGAGGTTGGTCTCGGCAAGGAGACAGAGCTATGCGGCGGGAGAGTACGAGAGTCGCCATCTGTCGTCGTCCAGGTCGCCGGGGAGCGATGCGAGTCTGCAGCCGGTCAGGCCGACGCCGATGAGGGCGTATGCGGACAAGTCGGGCGAGCGCGAGATGCTGCCCCCGATTGGTGCCACTTCCGCCCCTCCTGCGTATGCACACTCGCACGGATATGCTTCGCACTCGGCACCCCCGATGAGCAGCCCCGCGGGTCGCAGCCCCCCCGTAGGTGGGATGGGAGGACCGCCTCCGCTGCCAAGCCTATCGCGCTTGGCGCCGCAGTCGCGCTCGTACCCCCCACCTCAGCTGCAGGTGCCATCGCATTCCCAGCCGCGTTGGTCGCAGGACGACCGCGCTCCGCACTACCGCCCCGACGGTCCGCGTCTCTCACCCCTCGCTGCCGAGTCGGACCGACAACGTCCCTCGCTGCAGTTGCGCTCCTCGTCGTCCTCCGTCGCCACCTCGAGCACCCGCAACTCGACCCCCAACTCATCCACCACCGACACCCCCTACTACCCCTCCAAGGACTCTGACCGCCCGCAGCTCTCAGCCCTCGGCCTGGGCATCGCCAAGCTCGACGCAGACGCAGCAGCGCAAGGCGGCCCCGGGGCTTCGGTAGCCCGCTTTGTAGCAAGAGAGGCCGCACCACTGCCTTCGTCAAGCTCGTCGTCCAGCTCATCGTCAAGCTCGCCGGCAACAAGACCCACCCTACCCCCCATTTCGAGTCTCTATGTCCCCCCGCCGGCGCCAGGGTCGAGGAGAGCTTCGGCCGTACATGCACTCAGCCAGCTCGAAAGCCCCCTCTCCCCACCCGTGCGCCCTTAGAAAAGGTCTGCGTCCAAGTTGTTTTGATCCGGCTGTATCACATGTACTATTTCCAAATACCATTCGTAGCGTTTCTCGACTGCACAATCGCCAGCGTGTGTCGTGCGGGATGAAGGCGTATCCCTTGCAGCGCGTCGAAAAAGCAGGCACCCTGCTGAGATTTCTTCCTGTTGGTGGGTCGAGGCGCCTCATCGTGTGTCGCCATCAATCGCAGGACCTCAATCAACAGTGTTGATGGTCTTAGTTCGACCCATCGTCGGCGTTCAAGCTATACCGGCTGCGCGTGTTCGTCTCGCATTCCCACGCACTCACGACCTGTTTGGTGGCTACTCGTTCCGCGCGGTACCTGCATCGGGAGCTGCACATTGCATGTACGCACGCATACGGGCTACGTCCCACCGATGGTACTCGGCACCGTACGGCTCTGGAGGCCGTGCTACCAAACACCTACACGTGCAATGCACGCACCTCCTGCTCGGACCTCTAACTTGGTGAGCTTAGCTCGCACTCGCACAATGTGTACACAGCACACAGCCATCTCTCATTCGTATTGGCTCAACAGGCTTGTTTGCTCGTACGACTCTCTGCCGTTGGCCGCCTGCACTGCCAGCGTCCTAGCGTACATCGTGGCAGACTCGGATATAGACGATGGACGTTCTCGCCGCCCTTGCCCTTGTTCATGTCCTACCTCCTCATGCCGGCACGCACGCACGCCCGACCGACCGTTGCCCATTCCACGCGCATTCCAACCAGAACATACACAATCCAGCTCGTTTCAAGGATTCGGTGCGGCGTAGCCACGTGCGAGCCCGAGGCGGCAAGACCCGTGCAGAGCGTCAGCAACCGGAATGCTATAAAAAGGTTCGGTCAGCATGCGACCTAGGGACTGTGTGCTAGGTTCCACCTTCCCAAGATCCGCCTTGCCGCCCAGTCACGATGACCACACAGCCAGAACGGCCCGGGATGTCGAAAGCCTTGCAAGACGCCCATGTTTCTATCAATGCAAATGGATGACGATGATCCCTAAGAGCTTGCGCGCTTCAAGTGGTTGCAAAAGTAGCTGCAGGGTGCAAAGCAAGCGCAGGCACACAAGGCTTAAGCACTCGCAAAGGAATCGCGACAAAGAACGGCTTTCACTCCGCCAGCAGCCAAGTTTCTTCACCCGTCCTGGTTAAAGGATTGCCAATTGCGACTCTGGTCCTGCTCCAGCGTCGTGGGTGCTACAAGGTGGTCCATCTTGTCCTCGCCCACGCCCACGAACACGCACGCCCAACGGAACACCCATTTGACCTGCATTCCGACGCTGCACAGTACAAAACTCGCTCGTGACGAGCCTTGAGAAGCTGGCGAATCCTCTCCAGCGTCGCAGGCGGCGACGAACCATCTCATCCTCGCCCACGTCCTGCCTCCTTGCAGCAATACACACACGCAAGCACGCTCGACTCGACACCATTCCACGCGCATTGCAGCGCACCACGAACACCATGTAGAACCGATGCGCAGGGACGGGATGGCGAGCCAGACGGACATTTGGCCATCCGTCCGTCGACGTGCGCGACTGCGATTCGGCGCGACGTGGCAGGCGGAATACGGACGATCTCGGCGCGCTCGCCCGTGAGTTGCCTCGTCGCGGCCAGCCGTACACGCACGCACGCCCACCCGACTGTACACCCCGACTGCGTTCCAATCGAAACGGATAAACCAGCTCATCAAGCTCAAGAGGCTCGAGAGATGGCGACGTAAAGCTCTTCTCCTCTCCAAGATGCCAGCTTTCGTCCGCCAACCTCACCAACGCGTCGCCGACCGCCACTCTGATCCTCTCCGGCTTTGTTCTCGCCACTAGACGACCATCTCAGCGCCCTCGCCCTCGCCCTCGCCCTCGCCCTCACCCTCGCCCCTGCCTTTCTGCCTCCCTGCCTCCCTGCCTCCCTGCCTCCCTGCCTCCCTGCCTCGTCGCATCCGCACGCACGCACGCCCGACTGCACGCACAACCACGCCATGCACAAACCATCTCGTTCCTCTCAAGAAATGACGACGAGGCGCTGCTACACACAATCAATGATACATTCCGAACCACACCTAATCATCTGATCAAGCTCAGGAGATGGCGACAAAGAAGCTCTTCTCTCCCTCCCTACGCGGAGTACTTTCCTGTGCCAGCCTGACCAGCGGATCTCCAATGGCGACCCTGATCCTCTCGGGCGTCGCCGGCGCCACAAGATGAAAGCCCTCCGCCTCATCCCCTACATACTGTCTCCTCGCATCAGCAATCGCATGTTTGAGCGCAAAGAAAACCGATGCGCCCAAGAACAGCGGTGGTTCGCCGATGCCTTTGCTCGACTGAATCGTGCCGAGATGCTTGTTATGCTTCGCCGCCGCTGGATTTCCGGGATCCTGCACCTTGAGGAACGAGATCCTCATATCGCTAGGCGTATCCAAAAACGCAGGGATCTTATAGTTCCCTGGGCCCCTCGTAGCCAGCTGACCGTTGTTCATAAACAGCGTCTCCTCGAGCGTAAACAGTCCAAAGCCCTGCGTAAAGGCGCCCTCGATTTGACCCACATCGATCGACGGATTGATCGAACGCCCGATATCCATGTGCACATCCGCACGCACAATCCGATGATCACCCGTAATCGTATCCAGCTCCACCTCGGACACCGCCGCACCCTGGGTAAAGTAATAGAACGGCGTCCCCGTTCCATCCGACCAATTGTACCCGATACCCGGCGTCCTATAGTGTCCAATCGCCGACAACTGCACACGGTTAAAGTACGCCATGTGCACCACATCCTTCCACGCCTCGACCCCACTCAGCCCCTTGGCAGCCACCTCCGCGCGGAACTTGGCGAGCGACGCATTGATCTGGTCGCACGCATTCTTGAGCGCCATACCGTTCAGATCCGACGAGGCCGAGGCGGCAGTCGCCGACGTGTTGGACGCCTGCGCCGTGTTGGTCTCGCTCAAATGCACCATCGACACCGGAATGCCCAGCTCGGTCGCCACCACCTGCGCCATCTTGGTGTGCAGACCCTGCCCCATCTCGGTACCGCCGTGCGAGAAGAGCACGCTGCCATCATGATGGTACACGTGCACAACACCATAAGCCTGGTTGAGGAAGATCGCGGTGAACGAGATACCGAACTTGGTCGGAATCATCGCCAGACCGCGCTTGCGGTATCTGTGCTCGGCATTAAACTTCTCCACCGCCTTGAGCCTGGCGTCATAATCAGCAGACCCCTTGAGCTGCTGCCACAACGTAGGCACGTTCCAGTCGACGAGCTTCTGGCCAAAGTGGGTCTCGTCGTCCTCTTGGTACATGTTCTTCTCGCGAATCGCCTCGGGCCGCACGCCGAGCACCGCTGCCGCCTTGTGGACAAAGTCTTCGGTGAAGAACATGCCCTGCGGACCTCCAAAGCCGCGGAAGGCGGTGTTGGACATGGTGTTGGTCTTGCAGATGTAGCCCTCGACATGCAGGTGCGGTATGCGGTAGCAGTTGTCGATGTGGAACATGGCGCGCTCCAGCACGGCCTGCGACAGATCCTGGCTCCATCCGCCATTGTTGTAGACGCGCGCATGCAGGCGCTCGAGCGTTCCGTCCTTGCTGAAGGCGAGCTTCCACTTGCACATGAACGGATGTCGCTGGCCCGTGGTGAGCATGTCCTCGTCGCGGTCGAGCATCACCCTGACGGGCCTGCCGAGCTTCTTGGCCGCGAGCGTAAGCGGCGCCGCAAACGCAATCGTACGCGACTCCTTGCCACCAAAGCCACCGCCGAGACGCTTGACGCGCGTGACGACACGGTTGTTCGGAATGCCCAGGATCGACGCACAGAAGACCTGCGTCTCGGACGGGTTCTGCGTGGACGAGATGACCTCGATTTCCGAGTCCTCCTTGCCTGGAATGACGAGGCACGCGTTGGTCTCGAGGTAGAAGTGCTCCTGACCACCCATACGCGTCTCGCCCTCGAGCACGTGGTCGTACTGGCTCCAGCCCTCGTCCGACTTGTCGCCGCGGTGGATGACGGGACGAGGCTTGAAGAAGCTCTGCGCCTCGATCGCCTCGTCGATGGTGAGGATGTGAGGCAGATCCTCGTACTCGATGTGCACCTTGTGCGCTGCCGCCTGGGCATGACGCTTGGTGTCGGCGACGACGAGGCCGATGATCTGGCCGACGGTGTACACGGTGTCCTCGGCGAAGAAGGTCTCGTCCATCGAGGGCGGGTTCCAAATGTTGCTGCCGCCAGCAGGGATGTCCTTGTAGGTGATAAAGTCGACCACGCCGGGCATGCGCAGCGCCTCGGCGGCATCGACCTTGAGCAGCTTGGCGTGCGCGCGCTGCGAGAGCACAAAGCCGGCATGCAGCTCGTTGGCTACCGGCGGCATGTCGTCAATGTACACCGCCTCACCCGTGACCTGCTTCATGGCCGACAGATGCGGGATCGAGTCGCCGACGGGCTGCTTGATGGCGACGTTCTCAAGATCCTGCAGACCCTTGGTGACAGGCCTGTCGACGGTGCTCGTAGCAAGCTCCTCCAGGTCGGGCAGCGCCTCGATGGCCGCAGCGAGCTTGGGCAGCCCAAGCCTGGGTGCAGCCAGACCCCAGAGACGCGTGAGGAATCCAAGGGCAAGCGTCTTGCGGAAGACGGGCATGCCACCGGGGACGCCGTAGGAAAGCGGGAAGTCGTCCTTGGCCAAGATCTGCAGCGCCTGCGACAGCGTCTCTGGCGCGCTGAACTGCTGTCCAACCAAGAACGCCTGCGCCTCGACACTCTGCATGGTCGTGGGGCCCATGCCGCCAAAGGCGAGCGTGGCATCGAGGATCTTGTCATCGCGCACCGAGAGGCGGAGACAGGCATTGACGATGGCGATGTCATCGTCCTTGCGCTTGGACTGCTTGAACGCCTGCACCACGCTGCCGGCCTCGGCCGACCAGGGCACAAAGAGCTTGGTGATGACGGCGCCGGCAGGCAGTGCGGTCTTGCGGTATCCGAGGAAGAAGTCGCGCATGTTGACGCTCTTCTCGTCGACCTCGCCAGCGGCCGCATCGATGTAGGACAGCTCTGCGCCGGTGGCGACCCAGACGGGGTTGAGATCCGAGATGGGCGAGGCGGTAGCAATGTTGCCGGCGAGGGTGGCGACGTTCCTGATCTGGTTGGAGGCAAAGTAGGCGAGGTTGTCGAGGATGGCGCGCTTGACCTGCTTGGCGTAGGCACCCGCGGGCCGCTCGGCGCGCAGATTGTTAACCAGATCTGTGAGACTGAGGTTGGCGCCGACGGTGATGCCGCGCTCTTCGGAACGGTAGAAGGCGAGCTCCTTAATGTGATCCGAGACAAAGATGGAGACCGAGTACTTGAGATGCTTGAACTTGACTTCGATTCCGGTCTCTGTGTTGCCACTTCGGATCTTGCCGCCGGCGTCGAGGCCGTAGAGCTTCATGCATTCGACGAGCGACTTGAGCGAGCCGGGACGCAGCCAGACCTGTCGCGCTGACGAGTCTGCCTTGGTCTGCTGAGGCTCGCCATCGAGCTCGTCCGACTCGGGGAGCTGCTCGACAAAGACGAGGTCCTGCGCATCGAAGGCGTCCTTCGCGAGGTATGGCGGGAAGATGAGCTCGGCAGCCGCGTCGTACGGCTTGAACTGGTTGGGGTCGAGCACCTTTTGGATGGCTTGAGCCGTGGTCGAGATGCCGGGCGATGGCGATGTGGACGGCGCACATCCCTTTTTGGATCCGTTGACCATGCAGCAGTCGGCGCCCTTGGCACAGGGGGTGCGGGTGATGAGGTCAGCCTCGGGCGGAGTGGACGGTTCTGCCTCGTCCGACTCGTCGCTAGTGTCATTTGACGCAGATGCGCCGTTCTTGTCGCTCTTGACGGTCGCAAACGACTTGGCGGCGTCCAGAATAGGACGGTAGCCAGTGCATCGGCAGAGGCATCCGTCCAGCGAGTGTTCGATGTCGGCCTCGGTCAGGTGACCGTATCCGTTCCTGACTGTGGCGTAGAGCGACATGACGATACCGGGCGTGCAGAAGCCGCACTGTGATCCAAAGAGCTTTCCAATCCGCTCCTGAATGGGGTGGGGATTGGATGAGGAGCCGATGCCCTCGACGGTGAGCACATGGCAGCCGTGCACTGCGACGAGCGGCAGCAGACATGCATTGACCGACTTGTACCTGTACGGAGCCTTGGACGCTGAGGAAGAGGAGGAGGAGGCACCAGATGCGTGGGCCGAATCATACTTGCCCACCACGACGGTGCATGCGCCACATCCGCCCTCGCCGCATCCAAGCTTGGTGCCGGTGAATCCCTTGCTGCGGATGAACTCGAGAAGCGTGAGGTCGAGGTCGTCGCCCTTGGCCGGCGAGAGCTGGAAGCGCGTGTTGTTGACGGTAAAGACGAGCTTAGACGCCTCTGCGAACTGCGCAGGCAGCTCAAAGCCGTCCACGCTCTTGGTGGCGCTGACGGGCACGGGCATGATGGATAATTGCAGGCGATGGAGCGAGCGTGTGCGCCAGTAGAAGGTGTTGTGCGATGTGACCTGGGCAGAGTGGGGAAAAGGTCGGGGGTATAGAGTGGTTCCAGAGCACGAAATGCGATTCCGTCCGAAAGCGAGGGTGGACCGATGTAGGTGGGAATGAAGGCAAGGAAGGGGGGATGGGGGGGATGGTTATCGTACAGGAGGGACGAGGGTGGTCCGAGTTGGTCTAGCTGGCTTGAGCTGCTGGAAGCCCTGGATTTGCCACCTCACGCAGCAGCAGCAGCAGCAGCAGCAGTAGCCGGCAAGCCGATAAGCGCAGCACAAAAAGGCACGCGAAATGGAAATTGGATTAGGCTCTCGCCCGCCCGCTGCTCTCCTCCCGAGGAGCCGTCCTTTTGTTGCGGTTCGGCCAACTCCGAGCGCGCGCACTTGAACGGCCGTCAAAGGCGCAAAGCGAAGGAAAAGGTGGGGTCCACAACTCGCTTGGCTCCCAATCAGCGTTTTGGCTTTTCGCGATTAAATCTCGGATGCATGTGTGCCTTGTGGGCGCCTTCGGAGAACGCCGGTCCCCACAATTTCTCTTGCCCCACACGCTCACACTCACACTCGCACTCGCACACGCACACGCTCGCCAACGCACACACATGTGACCATGCCAGAACCACAACTCACACCCTGAGCCTACTCTTCATCCTCACACGGAAGCCATTCCGCAAAGCTACACTGTTCGGGACCAAAACCTTGATTTGCAACGAATAGGAAAAGTCATGCGTAACCACAATTGCCCTTGTGTGTGAGGGTCGGTCGCCCGCGCGCTCAGAGCGTAAACAGGAAGCGCAGGTCCGACACGCTCAGCCTGCCCATCGCACCGTCGTCCTTGCCGATGGCCGCCTCGATCATCGCGCTCTTCTTGTTCTGCAGCTCGATGATGCGCGACTCGATACTGTTCTCGATCACCATGCGCTTCACAATGATCGGTCGATGCTGTCCCAGTCGGTGGATGCGGTCCATCGCCTGCACCTCCACCGACGGATTCCACCACGGATCCATCAGGTACACTCGCGACGCCTCGGTCAGGTTGAGCGCAACGCCACCCGCCTTGAGCGACACCAGGAACACCGTCACGTTCGGATTCTCCATAAAGTGCTTGATCGTCCGATTGCGCGCCTCGGGTGACATGTTGCCCTCCAGACGGCAGATCTGGAAGCCCGCCCGCTGCAGCCGGAACGCGATCAGGTCGAGAAAGTTGACAAACTGCGAGAAGACGAGCGATTTGATCGTCTTGTCCTCGCTCCGCAGCTGCGTCAGCTCCTCCACCAGCGCCTCGATCTTGGTGCTCGAGCGCCACTTGTCCATGTCCAGACGCGCCAGGATGCCCTGGCGACCCGAGTCGTTCATCCGGATCGTGCTCTCCGGCGGCTCCAGCGCCTCCGACTCCAGGTCGATCGACAAGGTCGCATGGCAGTACGGACAGTCCGGCACCGCGCCCGGCTCAATGTCGGCGTCCAGATACTGCCGCACGCACTCGCGGCAGAAGATGTGCTTGCATCGCGACATGATCGCGTCCTCCGCCTCGTCCGTGCACAGACGGCACACGTGAATCTCGGACTGAGCATCGCCCAGCAGCTTCGACGCCATTCCCGTCTTGGAACGCAGAACCAGATCCGGATGGTTCGCCAGCTGTCGCATGCGCGTCAGCAGCGTGAAGATGTTCGAGTAGTTGTTGAGCACCGTGCCCTGGTCCAGATACGTGCTGAACTTCCGCGTCGTATCCGTGTACAGCGACGTGTACAGATCCTCCTCCTCTTCGTTGAACAGGTCGCGTCGCACCTCGATCGTGCGCGGTGGCAGGCCCATGTCATCTGCACGCTCCAGCTTGGTTCGCCTCAGCATCATGCGCTCCAGCAGGATGCGCAGACGCCGGAACGCGTCCCGGCCTTCGCCGTGCTGCGCACCGCTGCGCTGGATCGGCTTGAGGATCTCGTTGTTCCAGTAGCACGTGTGGTGCATCGGCGTGTGGCCGCACGAGTCGCAGTTGCGCTTGTCGCTGAACGACCAGTGCAGCGACTTGCAAGGGCACTTTTTGCAAAAGTAGTATGCGAAAGGATCGCCGCCGAGGAAGCGGATCATCGAGTAGAGCTCGCCGACACGGTTCTGCAGCGGCGTGCCACTCAGGCACCACCGGAAGTCGCCCTGCAGGGCGAAGGCGCCCTTGGCGGTGTTGGTGGAGCGCTCCTTGATGTTGTGCGCCTCGTCGAGGATGATGCGTCGCCAGTGCACCGCATGCAGCGCCGACTTTTCCTTGAGGATCTCGTTCTTGCGCCGGAAGCCCGACTCCTGCTTGCGGAAGCTGCTCTCCAGCACCGCGTAACTCGTCAGCACCACGTCGACGGCCTTGAGCTCCTTGAGGTTCTGCGTGCGGTTGGGTCCGTGCCACAGGAGCACCTTGAGCTTGGGCTCGGTGTATTGCTCGATCTCGTTCCGCCACTGCATAATGGCCACGGTCGGCGCCACGACAAGGCACGGCTTCTTGCGGTCCGACAGCATAAGGCTGATCATCTGGATCGTCTTGCCCATGCCCATCTCGTCGGCAAGCATGCCGCCCTTCCAAGTGCCCTGCTCTTGGCGCGTCATCCAGTACAGGCCCTCGCGCTGGAACGGGAGCAGCTTGATGTTGAGGCCAGCCGGCTGCTCGGCCTCTTCGGGCTTGATGACTGCCACCGTCTTCTGCAGATTCTCCCACACGTCCTTGAGCTGCGGGTGGTGCTTGTGGAGCGCTTGGGCGTTCTTGTCGTACTGCGTGCGATTGTCCACCTTCTTGAGGCGAGCCTGGTGACGTTCGCTGCGAATGCGTGCCTTGCGCTGCTTTTCGGTCTCGTACTGCGTGTCCTCTGCATAGAAGTTGTTGCCGCGCGGGTGAAAGTCGTCGTCGTCTTCGGTTTCGTCCGAGTCGAACTTGATGTCGTCGAGCGTAGCGAAGGTGCTTGGGCCAGCCTGGGCGGCACTGCCACTTGCCTTCGAGCGTTCGGAGCGCATCCTGCTGAACAGGGGCTCGTCGTCGCTGCTCATCTCCTCCAGGAGCGAGAGGCTGTCCTCGTAATCGTCGCCGCCCGCGCTGACGTTGTCTTCGTCCTTGAGACCGTCGATCTCGTCGTCCGATTCGTCAATGTAGGGTTTGAGCTCCTTCTTACCAGACGAGGCGCTTCGACGGGGAATGCGGCGCGACCGTGGTGTGAGATGGATCTCGTCGAAAGCATCGTCGCTCTCCTCTTCCTTCTTGGCTTGAGGTTGGGCGCGACCCTTGCCCTTGGCGGGCGTCTTGACCTTGCGACTAGAGGACGAAAGTTGACTGAACTCCTGCTCTAAGAAGGCGTCCAGGCCTTCGGGGTCATCGTCCAGGAAGCCACCGGCATCTTTGGCCTTCATGGCAACATTCGAGGCAGTGGAGCTTCGCCCCTTTCGGCGGGCGGGCTGGTCCGCTTCAGTCTCGTCTGTGAGCGCAGTTGACGTGGACTTGCCCTTCACAGCAGTCACAGCGCGCTTGCGCTTGCGAGAGTCGCTAGTGGCGGGCGGAGAAGCTTCCGCTTTGACCTCGTCTTTGAGGGGCGTCTTGAGGGAAGCCGATCGGGAGGCTCTGGTAGTGAGGGGTGCCGCCGTGCGACGACCAGGCTGCAGCGCATCTGCACCGAGGTCAAACTTGCTGTCGTCTTGGTTGTCGCCACCATCTTCTACAGAGGTGGCAGGGGTGTGGCTGCCAGAGGCGTAGGTGGAGCTGGTGCGCGAAGAACGCGCAGTGGTAGGGGTGGCCACCGAGCTGGCGGTGCGACTTCGAGTCATTCTGACGCTGGCTGGCGTGGCTGCCCCAGGGCCGGCGACATCATCATCGTCAGAAGAAATGACGATCACATTCTCGGTTGCGGCCGCAGCCGACTGCCGGGAAGAGCGACGAGGCGGCATGGTGAGACTACTCGAGGCCGATCGTTCGTCGCAGAGACCAACAGTAAGCACAGCGAGCCAGTCGCTGCGTAATGAAAGGTCGGTGAAGAGTGTGAATTGGCGATCGCTTGGGAAAGGAGAGAGGGGGGAGGGGGAAGGGGATGGCCGGGCAGGTGAACGGCAGGAAGGAAGCGGAAGCAGCGGCATACAGCCGGGTGCAGCAGCAGCAGCGAAAGCTCGCCCGACTCAGCCCAAATTTCGCCACCCTGCTGCGCGCAAGTGTCAAACGGCTAATCGCCTCCTAAATTCCTGCAGCTCCCAAGCCTGCAAGCTTTGAGCCGCCCTGCATACAGCCTGCAGATTTCTCCACGGATGCCGTTCTTCTCGATTTCCTTCCCTTCCGGCCTAACACTAGGGAGCTGGGCGAAAAAAGATTTTTGACACCCATTTTGTGGCAAACATTTCGTAGGCTTTCGGCAGGCTGTCGAAAGGCGCTGCGACCATCTGTTCGATGGCAATGCCCACTGCAGGACGAACAAGTCGAGCGCCAAGCAGCACCCAACATGAACAAAGATCACACATGCTGCGTGCTCATAGGAAACGGTGAAGAACAGTGATCTGATGCGAGAGTGTCATTTCAAGAGTCCTCGCTACGCCCAGTCGGCTACGCCAAATGTGACAAAGAGAATGTGACCAGTAAAGTGCAGGAGCTTGCATCACAGGGCGTCGTCGTTCCAGTAGACGGGCACGCCGTAGACAACAGTGCTGGCGCCAGTCAAGTACGGAAGTCTGCAGTCGTCGCGCGACTCTGCGATTGCGCGAGCCAGCGACATCTGCGTCGGTGCTCGGCTCGCCACGAGGATGCCGTTGGCGTCGACCTTGAGCTTCCTTGCGGTCGACTTGAGCGGAGCGCGCTCTCCCGCCTCCATCAGTCCGAGTCGGCCAAACACGCCCTCGCAGACCGAATCCAGTTCGCGGTCGGTCATGTCCCACAGATTGCCCACCATCGCCGGCGCGCCGCCGCACATGTAGTTGAGCGGCGTACCCGTGCGGTCAAAGTCGCCATTGTCATGCAGCATGGCCGACGAGCAGCCCCAAAGCATGGCGACAGCGCATCGCTCCAGGTCGCGCAGCTTGCTCTGTCGAATGAACGGCTCCGCTCCGCCGTGGCCAAAGTAGAGCAGCAGGTCGGACGTTGACAGCGCCTCAGGCAGCTCGTCGACGATCGGTTGACGGCCAACGATGCCCTTCCATCCGAGCGAGGCGCGACCCTTGAGCCAGCCTTCGAAACGCTCCTGGCTTTGCACCAGATCGCCTCCAGGATTGAGCAGGTACGACGTGCGGCGCTTCGAGAGGCTGTACAGCTTGCCGTTGCGCAACGCCACCTGCCACGCCGAGCTCTGCAAACTCGAGTTTCCGTCGTCCACTCGCTCGTTGCTCTTGCTCCCAAGCGTGGCTGCCCTAGGCGTGCGCGACGTCTTCGATGGCGAGCGACTCTGTGTCCTCGCTCCGTGCCGGCCCTTCTGCAGCGGGCTTGCCTCGACGTCCTCGTCCTCGTCATCAGTGTCATCCCGCTGTGCTGCCGGCCGGCGGCAGAAGACCGGCGCCATTTGAATGCGGTCCTGCAGGAAGGCCATCGACGGGATACGGCTGACCGACTTGCCGCGCAGGATCGGCATCGACTCCCAAGGGAACGGCGCCGTGTCCTTGTCGAGCACCAGGAAGATGTGATGGTCGCTTGCCTCCTCCTCCTCCTCGGCCGCGACGTACGCCATGTTGACCTTGTTCGGCGAGGCCTGCACCTTTTTGCCGTGGAATTCTTCAAGCGCACCTCGCAGATCCATCGCCGTCTCGTCGAGATCGATCTCGTCCACCGCCACCTGGAAGCCGCTGAACTGAAGCGCATCCATGACATAGTGCACCAGGTCCTCCAGATCCTCGTCGGTGCAGTCGGCCGGCAGACCGGCAAAGCATTCGAACACGGCATCGTCCATCTTGAGCTTCGTCGGACGCTTGTTGGCGGTCGGAAAGCAGGCGCGTCGGATGATCTTTTCGAACCTCGCGCGCAGCCCGGCAACAGCTCGGTCGTCCAGCATCGGCTCGGCAAAGACGCCCTTGAAGCCGCCGAGCCACGTGTCTTGAAGTTCCTGCAGCAGGTCGCGCAGTTCGTCGTCGAGGCGGTGGCGCTCGGTCCACCACTGCCGTCTGCCCTCCATTCCCTGGATGTCGCGCACGCCGTGGATGCCGTCGTTGCTCAGCTGCACGATTTCGACGAGCTTGTCCTTGGCCGCCGCGAGCGTCAGGTGCTCCTCGTCTTCTTCGGTGCCGTCTCGCTTGCTGCGTCGATTCATCGGCAGGCTATACAGCACCGCCTCTTTGGCAGAGCAGCCGTCGGCGCCTCCGCCGCCCTGCTGTCGGGTCAGCACGAGGTTCTCGACGTCGGTGCTGCGGACCGAGATCGAGACCACGGTCCAGTTGCGTGGAAGTAACAGCTTGGCAGATCCGGCATCGTGCTGCGCTTCCTGATGGCGCAGGCGGACAGACTGCCAAAAGGCCGACCAGGGATTGCCTCGACTCGAGCGCTCGCCTCGACCTGCGCGAGGACGGTCGTTGAGCGTGAGCTTTGCCAATCGGCTCGGCAGTACATCTTGATCGCAGTCATCCATGCCCGCGCTTGAAGAACGCGCGGACCTCGCGACCGCATGATCGTCCGTGATGACGGGCCAGTCTTGATCCTGAAGACCTGCGTCCGAATTTCGCAGCTTGGCCGCGATCGACATGAGCAGGCTCCTGCGCACGCCCACGCTCGAGGCCCAATCCAGCAGTGCGGCAGCCGCGTTGGCAGCCATCTTGACGTTCTTGCCGAGCGCCGCCTGGGTCGTGTAGACTTGGGCGAGGCTCGCGAACGCCTCGCGCAGCGACAGCGAGTGGGATGACCGCAGTCCCAACGAGAGCGCTTCGCGGAAGGCCGAGTCCGCGGGCGTCAGCATGTCGAACGCAGCCTTCACCGTCTCCTCGGAGATGGCGTGGTTCGAGCCTGCTGTCGCGGCCAGCGTGCGGACACTGACCGAGGGGACCATTGGGATCGAGATGGCGGCTTCGGGCAGCATGCTGAAGAAGTGGTCGCCCTTGAGATGCTGAAGCGCCCTGCGCAGTGCGATGCGGCCCTCAAGGACGAACTGATCGACGCGCACATCGATTGATGCCAGGCCGTCCCAAACACCGGCGGCCTTTTCGACTGCATCCTCGCTTTGCTCCGCCTCGCCCATCAGATGCAGGATCCACGCCTGTCTCTGCAAGAGCCTGGACTGCACGTCCGGCAGAACCACGTCCATGCCGGCGCCTGTGGCTGAATGGCTCAGCCGCATTCGATGCTGCCACGCCGAGTTCGAGAGGCTCGATTTCCTGCGGTGGTGTGACTGTGCCTTGGGCGACGGAGACGCGTGTTCGGCCTCGACGAATGCAGAGCTGAGTGTGCGCAAGGTAGCTTCCCCCGTAGCGTACGAGCGCAACGCCTCGCCGAGCTGCTCGATGCGCATGAGACAGTCGCCCTGAACGTAGGACAGAGGGACGACCTCGGGAATCCACGTCTCTTGAAGCACCTCCATGCATCGCGACAGGTCTTGCTGGCCTAGCTCGGTGCGATTGAGCTGGAGCCGGAGCTCACCCCGCTGCACCAAGGCACGAGCGAGCGGCAGGGCAAAGCGCATCGAGGTGGCAAAGTCGACCGCCTCGCCAGCCAGGCTTTCGGCCTCGACCGCCGAGCCTCGGATGCTGTGCGACGTGCTGAGCCTCATGTAGCTTTCGAGCAGCAGACGGCAGCTTCTCCAAAAGAGGCTCGAGAATACGGCACCGCAGAACTTGGGCAGCTGCTCCTCCTGCGGCTGCGGCTGCGGCTGCTCCTGGCTGTCAGGGGTGTCCATCACCACGTCGCTCGATGCTTCCGATGCGTCCTTGCTGATCTGGCCCGCCTGCACCACCTGGCCGTCGCTCTGTGCCGAGGTACGACTGGCGATGCTGGCGAGGTTGGACGAGAGGCGGATGAGCTGTCGGAGTGCCTGGGTGATCGACTCGATGCTCGAAGCCAGGTCGCCCTTCTCCACATGTAGACGAGCAGCGACGGCAAAAGCAAGAGCCTGGCGCTCCCTCTGCAGCAAGCGTTCCATCGAGCTAGAGACCGCCTTGTCCCCCTTCTGTTGTCCCTTTGCTAGTGCTAGACCCTCGATGAGCCGTGCCTGGGCGCCAGCTAGATCCCGTGTCTGGCAGGACAGCTCGGCCTGGGTCATGAGGCAGCGGAAGCGAACATGATCGGTGAGCACCACCAGCTGTGTCGATGGCGAGCCCGTCGAGGTCTGCCCCGATAGCAGAGTCATTGCGGAGCGAAGGACGCCTTCGGCGCGCTGAGTCTTACCTAGGCGTAGGTACGCCTGAGCGAGGTCGACACCTGCGCGACACAGCATCTCGTCCGCATCTGGCGTACACTCGTCCGAATGTCGGATGGCTTGGCGCACGACCTTGAGAATGTGCACGCTGCACTGCGTTAAGGCCAGCGCCGCAAAGGCCTCCGAGATTGTGAGCGCCGACTGGCAGAACTGCCTGGCGTTGTCCAGACTAGACTCCTTCGCCTGCGACTTGGCTTGCGGAGACGAACGTGAGACTGCCGTAGACTTTGACTCAAAGACGGGCTTGCCTCTGGACGGCGGTGTCGTTGGGCCGGACGGCAGGGCAGCAGTCTTTTGCGGAGGGGCGGATCGCTGACCAAGCGCTCTCCGGTTGTTGGCGAGTCGCACCGATGCTGTGCTTGGTCCACGAGCTGAGGCTCGGGTGCTTGGAGTCGCATTTGGTGTTGCCTGCGCAGACCTGGGCGAGCTGCTCGAAGGTTGCCGCGGAGATGATTGAGCGGACTGCTTCTTGGGCGTGCCCCGCGTGGCGGAGCTGAGAGACATGCAAGCCGCCTCGACCTTCTCTGCCACGATTTCCGGGCTCTCATAAGGTCGACGCAGACGAATGTGTAGAGCCGTAGACAGCAAGAGCGAGCAGCGGTACTGTGCCTTGAATCGACCGAGTCCTTCGTCCTTGCCAAGAGATGGACTGTCCACGCACTTGATCGCGTCTTCTTCCATCTGAGCTACCTCGTCTTCTGTCAGCGCAAGCGCGTGCGACAGGACATCCATCTCGAGCATACGAGCGATAGTCCTGGCGCGTCGGAGCGGGAAGTGCGTTGCATCATAGATGCGCAGCAAGCACTGATGGATGTTGCCGATCGCCTTGACGGAGCTCGCAAGGTGAGAGCGGGCGTCGAGATGCTGAATCGCTTGCTCGAGGATCGCGCCCTTGACGCTCGTCTCGAGTTGGTCCGAGTGCAGGACCCAATGTGCGAGACTATGCTTTTGATCGTCCAGATCGAACTCGGAGCCGAGCTCGTGCACGGACATGTCGGTGATAGCCTTGATCCAACCGGCCAAGCTCTTTCCCTCCGCCGACTTGAAGCATTGCTCGATGCCAGCGTCACTGACACGCTTGCCAATCTTGGTTTGGAGGGTAGAGGGAATGGAGAGGACCAGCTTCCTGTACATCTGCAACGCGCGCTCCTTGTCGCCACCGAGTCGATATGATACTGCCGTGTACTCGAGCTTCTTGTTCAGGGAGTCCTGACGCTTTTGCAAGCTTGCCTGCACCTCTGGCTGTTCTTCCCCGTCGTATGAAGATCGCAGGAGGTCGATCGAGTCGATGTCGCAGTCAACAGCGCCCTGCAGAAAGTTGGCAGCCTCGACGTAGTCGACTGCATTGTACAGCATGCCGCCTGGATTGTAGAAGCTGGTGCACAGCAGTCGCAGCTGCTCTGACAGCACCGAGGCGGGCAGCGATCTGGCCAGCTCGGATTGCAGGAGGGCATGGCAGCTCTCGAGCACGCCGAGTGACTCGGCGCGCGCTCGCGACGACGAAATGGAGAAGAGCTTGTTGGCTAGCACCCTATGTCCATGCACGAGATCCAAAAGGCACGCGTCGCGAGTTGGCAGCGACGTTGGCCGCGCAGGCGTCGACTTTACTGACTCGCTGGACGGCATCGCAGAAGCCGAGGTGGACGGCTGGCAGCAAGCAAAGAGCTCGCGCAAGAGCTGCAAACAGGCGCGTGCGAGCGAGTCGACATTGACGGGAAAAGCCGAGGCCGTGTCTTGCTTGGGCTGGCCTTTGCTGTCGCAGCCTTGGCTTGCGAGCTTGGTGCAGCAGCGACGATGGATCTGATCCACGACGCGGTGAAGCTTGATCTGAGAGGATGTCGCGGCAGTCGTTGGCCATCCTCCAAGCTCGCGCTGCAAGACCTTGCAGGCGTCGTCGAGCCGAGATTGCGTGTCGGCGTCGGACTTGCCAGCGAGCACGTTGTCGAGAGCCAACACACATGCTGTGAGCTTTGCGCAGATCTTGGCGAGGTCTTGATCGCTCCACTGCCTTTCTTGGAGAGGCGAGCTGGTTGCCGGCGCCTCCGCCTCGGCCATCATCACCTCGTTCGAAGTTGCAGGCGTCTTGACGGTGCTCGAGAGCGCTGATGACGGCGCGCCTGCCATTACAGCGGTCGCCCGTTCGACGCCAGTCGTGCTTCCAGCCTTGCGTGCAAAATTGAGCCAGTGCTCGCAGAAACGCTGGAAGCCGTCGCCGGCCATCTTGTTGTGCTCGGCGCCGGCATGCTCGGCAAGATTCGCAGCTGTGGCAATGACGGTCTCGAAGGCGTCGTGAACGGCATCGTAGGTCGAAGCCAAGTCCAGCCCGTCCTTGTGGGCAGTCTTGAGGACGGCCCCACCTGTGCGTGCAACGCGCTCCCAGAAGGCAGCGAGGTCGATGTCGCTGACCTGGACGAGGAGCTGCAAGGCGAGCGTACGCAGCGGCAGGTATTCCTGGCTGTTGGGTGCCTCGAGCCGCTGGAGAGCTTTGGAGATGGCGCGTTCTGCGGCAAAGGCGACGCGGTCGAGCACCTTGGTCTCGCCTCCGGATCGGCGAGCGTACAATTGCCACGCCAACGGTCCGTGCTCGTGGTTGAGATCTGTGTGGATCGAGTCGAGCGAGTCGAGGTCAGCCGCCTCTAGAGCCTTGATGACGGAGTGGGACTGCAAGTCGAGCAAGAACGACATGCGAGCCGGCGAGGGCTCGGACGCTGAATCGGTTGTCTGGGTGAAGTGTGGCAGCAACAAGGTTGTCGGTGCCGCAGCCACGATGGCCTCAGCATCCGGAAAGTGCGCAGAGATGCGGGCGAGGTATAGGCAATCGGCATGAGCCACCTTGGAGAGCCCGATGGATTTGAGCTTGGTGGTGGTGCGAAGGATGATGGTTTCGACTTCGAGCTCCTTTTGCGCTGCAGCCGTGCCGGTGCCGGCAACGTCACGAGGGAGCAGGAGGAAGCGTGTGGCGATGCGGAAGGTGTGGGCGGCTGCTAGCACATGGGGCAGTTCCGAGGCCGTCTCGGCGCTATTGGCGGACCAGCCCGAGTTTGCGAGCTGCGAGAGCCACGAGAGGCCGGCATTGACGAGCTGCTTGGCAAAGTAGATGGATCGAGCGGTGGCAAGCTTTTCCGGAACGGGATCGAAGCTTGGAGAGCTTGTGAGCTCTTGTTCAAGTAAAAGCTCTTGTGCTGATGTGCCCAGGCGTAGGAGCAGGTAGTGCGGCAGTGCGACGGGGACCTCCTTGGGTAATTTGAGGGCTTCGAGAACTTGCGCCTCTGTCCATGACTGCTGAAGGACGGTCTGTTGTGCTGTTTGTGCTGGCGAAGCGGCTGTGCGGGATCGGACGGTAGCAGCTGCTGTGCTCCTGACCGTCTTCGAAGTCGGAGCTGGCTTGGTGGCGGTGGCGGTGGCGGCGGCGGAGGGCTTCGACACTGAAGTCGCACGGGAGGTCGAAGATGCAGCGCGCGACGAAGAGGATGAGGTGACGACAGAGCTGGATCGCTGCGACGATGAGGCCGGGGTGGTCCTTGTGGAGCGAGTGGACGGTGTTGTGGCTGGAGCTGGAGCTGCTACTTTGGTGGCCGAAGCGGTGCGCGCCTTGACCGTGCCAGATGTGGTGCGCGAGGACGTGGCGGACGTTGTGGCTGCTGATCTGCTCGAGCTGGATGCAGTGGCAGTGGCAGTGGTCCTCGATGCAGCGCTACGTGTCTTGGGAGCCACCTTGGTTGCAACGTCGACCTTACCGGCGGGCAGGGCGCTGCTGCTACTGACGGCAGCAGGCATTGCGGCCACCCTTGCTGGCATGCTTGTCTTGAGAGCGCCGCTATGCAAAGCCCGAGATGGTCGAGGCTTGGAGCCGTGCTTTTTGGCAAGCTGCGGTGGTCGAGAAGATGATGTGATGTAGGAAGAGCAAGACAGCGATGAAGGTGATGAGAAGGAAAGAGAAGAGTCAAGGGCCACGAAGCACGGGCTGAGCGCCTTGCAATGATGATTTCCTCCTCCACAGCTCCGCCTCGGCCATTTCGAGCTGCTCGACGCGGACCGTGTACAAGTTGCTCACGTGATTTGATCCAACTAACATTCAAATGAATTTTCCGAAATTTCCAGGGCAAAGCAGCAGCAGCAGCAGCAGCACAAAGCAGCAGCACACAGCAGCACGCGTGTCGGATTTGGACGTTCAGGGTGCAGCCGCAGCGCAAAGCTCTCTCGTTTGGCCGCTCCCCACGTCGCACGGACTCGCACTCGGTCTGCACTGCCGGACTCGCCGAGGCCCTGCCCTCACATTTGACGGCTGGCTTCACTTTCCTCACCTCTTCATCTCTTCCACCATCACAAACGGCGCCTCATTCGCCGTGCATCCGGCTACGTTGCATCCGGAGCGCGCAGCCAGCGGCGCCGTGGCCCAACTTGCCCCACCCGACCCAATCTGAAATGCAGACGGCTTAAACACAATCAGCCGGCGTCTCTCTGCCGACGTCTCCCCTCTTTTGCTCGTTCGTACCCGACTGTGCGCTGCTGTGCGCTGCTGCACAGCATGACCACAACCACGGATGCTGCTCGCAGTGATGCGCCCGCAAACAGGAACGCCAACGATCACTGCACCTTTTGCATGCTCGCCGAGTTCGACATCGACCGTGGTTCCACCCTCTCGTACCAGTATCCAGCTCCCTCCGGCTACGATGAGCACATGCTTGCAGAACTCATGCTTCCGGATGGAGTACACGCAAGGACCGAGGACTGGACCTTCTTCTTCCTCAAACCGCCAGGGACCCAACGCCCCGCGCTTCGAGATGCTGCTGCCGACGACGACCGCTCGTCTCAATCGCACGCTTCTGCTTCTGCTTCCGCCTCGGGCTCGCAAGATCCATCCTCCTGGCTTTCCGACGATCTCACATACGTCATCAACCTCGTTCGCACCAAACACGACAACACCGTGCGTCGTGGTGCGATGGTCAAAGCCATGGCCATCGGAACCCGCCATCCCTTCATCGATGTCTTCAAGCCTGCACTCCTCCTCGCCCTCGACGACTACTTTCAGGATCCTGGGCCGGACTGCCTTGCGCGTCTGTACGACTCGATCAACCGTCTCGACCTCTCGTCAGCTCCCACTTTCAGCCGTGCCGAGAAGCTCGTGCTCCGCGCCTCGGATCGTCGCGATCTGTTCGAGGAGCGCTTCGCTGCCACGCCTCGTGCCGATCCGCTTGCTTCCAACCAGCCCGCCTCTGCTCCCGCACAGATCGAAGAGGTCGAAACGGCACGGTCCACACCGAGCAATGCCGATGTTTCGGACTCGGTTCGGCCGCGTACCAACAGCACCTCGACCCTCTCGTCCGAAACCAAATCCATCAAGAAGAAGCTCAGCGTGTCCTCTTTACGACCTAGTATTGGCGCTCGCAGGGGCTCGTCCGCCAACTCGATTGCAGGCGTACCCTCCATACCTGACAAGAGGATCGCATCCTCGACAGCCAACTCTGCCTACAGGCCTCGTGACACCCACTTCTTCGACACCACGCTCGTCTACCGCTCCGTGCCGCTGCCCATTCGCGTGCCGCTCACCACCTTCCCCGAGGAAGTGGGAGAGTACTCGCTCATCCGCCTCATACAGACCTTTTCCGGCCCGCAGTCCACTCCCACGGGACCCGTGCATCCGCACTTGCACATCAACGGCCCGTCTACCCACCCCATCATCATCCTCTTCAACGCGCTCGTCACGCAGAAGCGCGTCATCTTCCTCGGCTACGGTCAGCCTGCCCACCTGGTCGCCAGCTTTGTTCTGGCCGCCTGTGCGCTCGGCTCCGGATGCGGCGCAGTGCTGCAGGGATTCGCTGCACGCGCTTTCCCCTACACCAACCTGCTTGCGCTCGACGAGCTCGAAACGGTGCCTGGCTACATTGCCGGTGTGACCAACCCACGCTTCGAGGATCTTCATGCTTGGGACCTCTTGCTCAATGTCGAAACGGGTCGCATCCAGGTGGCCAAGGACATTGCTCCCGCTCCGACGCCCACCAATGCACCCTCGCATGCCATGCAGCGATCGGCCACTCTGCCGCGCGAAGCTGCAGGCTCGAACAGCGCGTTCGGCAGCGTCTCTTCCGCTACCGGTACAGACCTCAAAACCAGTGCCGACGCAGATCTGGCGCAATTCGGCGCACTCCTTACCAACGGCAACGGTGGCATCGGCTCAGCGATCGGCAACGGCCCGATATCTAGCAAGGCATCGAGCATGGGTGGCGCATCGGCACGCGATCGATCCAACACGGCGCAGTACGACACGCGCTCGGACTCGAGCAACACACTCTTCATGGAAGAGCTGCAGAGTGCGATCGCTGCGCACTATGGCGAGCGCTACATCCGTTCTCGCGTGCAGGAGTACGTCTTCCACTTTGTCCAGCGCGTGGCTCGGCACGAAGAGCATTTCTGCGGGCGCACCTGGCTCGGACCTGCATGCCAGCCTTTCCTCAACGGCCAATTGGGGTCGGGTCCCGTGTATGCGGATCGTGATTCCGAGATGCGCGAGATCCTGTCGAACCAGATGCGCATCGAGGGCTTCCGTCGCACCATCGCGTACCAGCTGCTGGCGGACAAGGTGCGCGAGTTTGGCGGCTGGACTCCCGCCATCCGCAGCTTTGACCTCGCCCACCAGCTCGGTCGTCTACGCAGGGCCAAGAAGCTGCACGTCGGCGAGTCGGATCTGATCTTTCAGACGATTGCGCAGGGCGTCATGACGCACGAGCAGATCGTCGAGGTGCTGGCGCTGCTCCCACCGCATACGGGTGGGCTGCTCCCCATCGCCACGGGGCTGTTCCATCCCGCGCAGGCGGTGAGGGACGCAGTGGTCGACTTCTTGCTCAGGCTTTGTCAGCATCCGGTCGGGAGGAAGTTCGTGCAGAGCATGCACACGTACCAGCGGCTGGCGTTTGCCAGGCTTGCGCAGGAGCGCGCCGAGGCGGATATGAGGAGCGCCCAGGCAGAAGTGCAGGAGCTCACAGTCGCAATGACGGGGCTGTCAGCACAAGCGGATGGAGCAAGCGAAGTGCGCTCGCCTACAGCGCTGTCGTCGAACGGTTCAGGCCCACGGGGCGACTCGTACCAGTCATTCAGCCCGACCAAGGAGGTGGCAAGCACGTCAGCGACGGCGCTGGCTGATCAGAACGCTTCCGCATAGACCCGTGCCAAGCCGCACTGCGATTGAAACTGCCACTCTGTATTTGTATGGAATCTTTCTACACTTGGTCGACTGCGTCAGCGGTTGTTCGTGCTGAGCATGTGTCGCTGTTGTGCAGCCGTGAAAGCAGGTGAGAACCCAAGGATGCCAGCGCAAGATGCGAAAAAGTCGGGTCGTGTGAGATTGCGTTCGCGTAGCGCCTTGGACCGAAATTCATTCCGAGATGCGGGCTAGAGGTGGAGTTGTGATTTCAACTCGACTATCCTCTCGACGTCGACATCTTCTCACCGCGCTTTGACCTTGACTGCCCACACATCACGATAGCATGGCATCGATACGCACCGAAACCGAGCTAAAGCGGGTGCTGGAGGCGCTCTCCTCACTATCCGAACGCAAGTCGGACAGCTCTACTCGAGTCGAGGCAATGGAGCTTCTCACCCTCTCCATGCCGTACTTCTCCGCGCTCAAACGCATCAACCGCCAGATCCACAGGGACGTCCAATCACAAAAGACACGCATTGGCGACGAACGAGCGAAAGTCGATACGGCACGACTGGCACTGCAGAACCTCAAATACGAACAGGCGATGCTCGAGCTCGAGGTGAAGATCTGCCAAGAGTTCCAGTCCATCTTTCAGGACATCCAACTTCACCCTCTGGAAGAGTTCCGCGCGATTCATCCCGACGCGGAAGAGGATGAACATGCGCTGATGCTGGCGAGACTCAAGTTCGAGTTGCAGGAGAGGAGACGGCTCGAGGCGGAAAAGCAGGAGTTGCAGATCGACAGGTCCGGCGTGGCAAAGGAGAACAACGACAAGAAGGTCAAGCTCGAACAGGCAGAGAAGGAGCTCAAGGATCTTCTGGCTGCTGCTCATGCAGTCAAGGACAAGTTCGAAAGCTTTTAGAAGGCACGCAGAACGCAATCATACCCCCTGTATTTGTACGCGCACCCAATTGCACACATCCTCATCTGCACAGTCGAATGGCGGTCTAGAATGGCGACCCTTGATTGCAGCAAGTGAGAGGTGATCATTCGAGGCCGATACTTTTGCGTACCTGGCTCATGGTTCGTCGCGCGACGGTTTGGGCCTTTTGCTTGCCCAGCTGTTCCATCTCGGTCAAATAGCCCGGATCCTTCCGCAGCCTCTCGAGCTCCGCCTGGATTGGTCGTAGTGTCTCCACCACTGCGTCGGTGAGAGTCGCCTTGAGATGCTGTCCCAAAGATGCGCCCGACTCGCTAATCTCCTGATTCAGCCTCTCCGCCCACTCCTCCGGTCCAGCATTCTCCATCTCCACCGTCCCCGGAGCTGTCTGAGACTTAAGTGCGGCAAGGATAGCCAACAGATTGCTAACGCCCGGTCTCTGATCCGGCTGATAGCTCAGCTTTACCTCTGCATCCGTAACGGCCTTTCTGACCTTCCTCCTTACCTCCTCTGGCGTATCCGTGAGCAGAATCCTCGAGTTGGCATCTGGGGCGCTCTTGCTCATCTTGCTCGTCGGATCGCGCAGCGACAGAACCCTCTTTGTCGGCGTAATAATATGTGCCGGCAACGGGAACGTCCTCTTAAACCGGCGATTGTAGACATCTGCCAGATCGCGGCTGAGTTCCAGATGCTGAATCTGGTCCTCTCCGACAGGCACATGCGTTGCCTTGTACAGCAAAATATCCGCCGCCTGCAACACTGGATACGCAAACAACCCCAGACTGAGGTCTTTGTCATCCACATCCGTCGAGTCGGACACATTGCGCGCCGTCGCGAGCTTCGCCTTCCACGTAGTCATGCGGTGCAGCTTCCCAAACGACGCGAGGCAGTTCAGGATCCATGCAAGCTCCGTATGCTCCGCCACGTGGTCCTGGTGGAAGATCGTACATCGCTGTGGATCGAGGCCGATCGCAAGCAGCGTCGCCATCATCTCGGAACGCTCCGTGCGGAGACGTGATGGGTTCTGAGGCATCGTAATGGCGTGATAGCCGACGATGCTAAAGTACAGCTCGTCCGACGTGTCGCGCGAAGCGTTTTGCAGGTCCACCCAGTTGCGTAGCGCGCCGAGGTAGTTGCCCAGGTGTGGGATGCCCGTGGGCTGGATGCCCGAAAAGATCACGCGTGGCCGTGAGGTCGATGCAGCAGAGGAGCTGGCTTGCGAGGTGGATGCGGGTGCCGTCGAAGCTGTCGACAGCGCCCGAGGGCCTGCGACGCGGGAGGTGCTAGCCCCCCGCACGGCTATGGACGCCGATCGCAGTGCCGATACCATCGTGATGTACAGAAGCGGTGGAGAGTGGCAGAGCTATGGAAGATCAGGGTCGAGGTTGACCAGGGTCGAGAAGAAGCCAAAAAAGCGTCCATGCTGAGCTCCGACTTCCGAGGTGGAGGATGAAAATCATGCAGCAGATGAAAAGTCGGTGTAACAGTTGGCCTTTTTTTGGCACACGCCACACGGAATTTTGAGGGTCCTTCCATTTCTCAGGTGCCTGTGGATCCTGTTGGTCCCTGCAGGCCATCTCCGCACAGATGCATGTCTAGAGCGATGCCAAGAGGTGACGGAAACTTGCCTCTCTTTCCTGCAGGGATGTCAAGCAGCCAAAGTACAGTACGGTGTGTGTGTCTGATGAGGCCGTCAACGTCGGCACTGCCGATCCCAGACTCCCGCGTCTCGTGACGGTCTTTTCCGCTGGAAGCGGCAACCTCGGTCGAGCGGGCGAAATTCACGCGGGCCTCTCTCCAGCCGTCTCTGCTCCGTGCCCACGCTTCTTCCTCGGTAGCTCAGGCTGCTCGACGGCGCTTCCGGTCGACGACAGTTCCGATACCGAGCTTTGATTAGAGCTGCTCGCATGTCGGAGAGAAAACGTGCTGGGCGGGTGGGATTCGCATGTCGTGCTTTGGGTGGCGGCGGATTCGACTCGATGACGAGCTTGGGCGCGGAAAATTGAATGCAGCTGCAGGAAGGCCGCATTCGCCGCGCGTGCTCCGATTTAGGTGCAGGCACCCGAGCAGAGGATCCCGAGAGGCCACGGCCAAAGCGCCGCAAAAGCTGCGGGCCACCGGTGCCTCCGGGGCGAATCCCGCTTTGCCGCCCGCAAAACACCGCCTTGACACTCCGAAATGCAACAGGCCATCAGCAACGCGGCGGTTGAAAACGGTGCGCTTTCGCTTCGCAACCGATGCGCTTGGTTTCCCCTTTCGAAAAGGGTCTGAACAGGCGCAGGTCAACGCGCAAATGCCGGATCTGATGAAGACGGGATGCAGCTCAAGTCTCCGTTTCATTTTGGCCACTTCGGTTTGCGCAGCTGCACGTATGAACCTGCCGCGTGCTCGTGCTAGTCAAGCCTCGCTAGCTCGCGTGCGAGCTCGCTTCACGATTACCCTGGTGCCTGTCTGGCTTTAGCCCGCATCTTTATCCCTCCTGCTTCTTCCTTCTCGACTACACCACCCTCAACCTCTCATTCCTCTGGTCTGAGAGAATTTCGCAAAAATGTCGGCGCCAGTAACCCACGTCGACGAAAAGGCTTCACCACCCGTTCCCCAACGGTCGTCGCACGACGACTCCTCGACCGACGACCTGGAACGTAACAACAAGGAATACAAGGCCAAGTCCGGAGGAGCAAGGGACGACCTCGTCGAGGTCAGCAGCGATGCCGACTCCGAGGAGGCCTTGGCCGCGCAGCGCGTCAAGGAAGCCCAGGAGGGTGGTACGATCAAGTACCGCACTCTGTCGTGGCAGAAGGCTGCCATTCTTCTCTTTACCGAATACGTCTGCCTCGCCATCCTCTCTTTTCCCTGGGCGTTTTCCTACCTTGGCATGGCTGGCGGCTTAATCGCCACTTTCGCTCTCGGACTCGGTGCCCTCTATACCTCGCTCATTCTCTGGAGGTATTGCTTGCGCCACCCTCAACTACTGAACATCTGCGACATTGGTTATCAGATTTTTGGTAAAAGCAAGATCGCTTACGAGCTGACTGCGCTCGCCCTCGTGCTCAACAACGTCTTTATCATGGGCCTGCACACGCTCACCGGCTCGGAGATTCTCAACACCCTCTCCAACCATGGCACCTGCACGCTCGTCTTCTCTGTTATCATCATGGTCCTCTCCATTCTTCTCACCCTTCCCCGCAAGTTGGAGCAGCTCACAATTCTCGGCATAATTTCGGCTGCATCCATGTTCATTTCGATTCTCCTCGTCCTCATTTTCCACGGCATTCAAGGCCCCAACCCTGCCGTCGACACCTTCGAAGAACCCGTATACATCACAGCTTTCGCTCCCAAGGGCACTGGCTTCGTCTCCGGCTTCTCAGCAGTTTTGAACATCGTGTTCACTTGGATCGGCCATGCGAGTATCAAGCGCCTTCTCCTCTTCGTCATGGTCAGAAGCATCGTACTGACATCTGCTCGCTTTTGTTTGATGGTTGTAGATCATGTACCCGACTTTTATCGCCGAGATGCGCGACCCGCGCGAATTTCCCAAGGCGCTTTACGCGGTTACGGTCGCCGAATTTATTTTATTTAGCGTCACGGGCATTGTGGTCTACCGCTACACCGGCCAGTACACGACGGCGCCCGCCGTCGGAACGCTCCGCCCCGTATTTAAGAAGATCGCCTTCGCCTTTGTGCTCCCGACGACGATCATCATTGGCGTACTGTACGCGGCCGTGGTGGCCAAGTACCTCTTCGGCCGCATCTTTATCGGCACCAAGCACTACAACGAGCACACCGTCATCGGCTGGGCGGGCTGGATCGGCTGCGTCACGGTGACGTGGGTGCTGGGCTGGGTGATTGGCGAAGCGATCCCTTTCTTCTCGACGCTCCTCTCACTGATGAGCGCGCTCTTCGACTGCTACTTTGGCTACATCTTTTGGGCGTTTGCCTTCTTCGAGCTGTACAAGGGCCAGCTCTGGGTCGGACAGCCGTGGCTGCGAAAGCTCGAGACGGCCTTCCAGTTCGTCCTAATCATCACGGGTCTGTTCATCCTCGGACCCGGCCTCTACGTGTCGGTGCAGTCGATCATCGACAACTACAACACGGGAAGCGTTAAAGCACCCTTCACGTGCGCAGACAACTCGCTCTAGTCGCCTACCTGCACGCTCCATCTGGCCTTTTACACACGGGCGACCGCAAGGAGTCCCATGCTCTGTATCATATGGTTGAATACATCTCGTCGTTCAAACTCCAAAGCGGCCGGTGTGCGTAGTTTGACGTAGAAGCGGTGTCGCATAACTTGCAGTCGAAAAAACTACATTTTGTCAGATTGACAAAAGCCTACAAATTGGAAATTTTTCCTGCTGAGGGCATCCCGACTGCGCACCGCACCGGCTTCTTTCGCAGGCGAAATTCCGTGATTGCGCGGCTCAGCAGCCAAAAGGCGCTTTTGAGGGAGCACTGGAGCTGCTGCCGCTGACTTGAGCTGTATGCATTCGCTCGAACAGCCTTCCCTTTGTTCCACCGACACTTTCACTACCTGCACCTTCACACCTGTTCCTGATTTGGCATTGACCCAAGACCGTCCATAGAAGCGCGACGACTGCTTCCCTTTCTACCCATCGCACCGTCTCGAGAGTCCTCCTGTCGTCTCGCTTTCCGAGCCTAACGAAAAGAGGGTCCCACCCAGTACGCCTCCGCCCTGCATCGGCTGCATCGCACACACCTGCCGCCGGCCACTTCATCCCAGTCTGCGCATCCTCGTCCGGCTTTGCGCCGCTCTCTTCATTGTACTCCTCTGTTTCGTCGTCCCCACCAATCGCTGCGCCTCCTGCCTGCTTTCCTCCACTAGTCTTCGAGGGATCCAGCCCAGAGACGACAACACTCCCTTCTGCATGCTGCCCGTCCGTCGATCCCTCCTCCGCACAGCGTCGCGGAACTCGTCGGCTTCCCAACGCGCGCTCACCTCTCTCACCACAGCATCCCCTCGTCCCGCAGTCTCTACCGTCGCAAAGCTCCACCACTCTCCCAACGCACCCAACGCTAGCCGCCACCTCTCTTCCATCGTCCTTCCTGGCCTCCCTGCTGCCCGCACCCCTATTGCACCCAGCATGGTTGCGTCCTCTTCCATTCATCGGGCTCCTGGCTCGTCGCGTCAGCTTGCCACGCCTGCATCGGCGGCTATCACCCTTGGCACCGGCTCGTTCGAGGGCTTACCCGCTGGATTCGAGATTCAGGAAACTCTCAACGGCTCCAAGGCTGCCGCTCCCTATGCCGTCTTCACCAAGGACCTCGAAGTATCGGCTCAGGATGACATGCGCTACCGTCTCGTCCGTCTCGCCAACGGCCTTGAGGCGCTTGTGATCCAGGACCCCAAGACGGACAAGTCCAGTGCCGCCATGGACATCCGCGTCGGACACCTCAGCGACCCCGAAGAGCTTCAGGGCCTTGCGCACTTCTGCGAACACCTCCTCTTCATGGGCACCAAAAAGTACCCTAGGGAAAACGAGTACTCCGAGTACCTCTCCAACCACTCTGGAGGCTCCAACGCCTACACTGGCATGGACAACACCAACTATTTCTTCGACGTCTCGCCCGACCACTTTGAAGGTGCGCTCGATCGCTTCGCGCAGTTCTTCCTTGAGCCGCTCTTCGACCCGTCGTGCTCCGAGCGCGAGATCAAGGCCGTCGACAGCGAGCACAAGAAGAATCTGCAGAGCGACATGTGGCGTGGATTCCAGCTCGACAAGTCGCTCTCCGACCCCACTCACCCGTACTCGCACTTTGGTACCGGCAACTACCAGACGCTCTGGGAGGAGCCCAAGAGCAAGGGCATGGACGTGCGTGAAGAGCTGCTCAAGTTCCACGACAAGTACTACTCGGCCAACGTGATGAAGCTCGTCGTGCTCGGCAGGGAGGACCTCGACAAGCTCACCGGCTGGGTCATCGAGAAGTTCTCGGGCGTCCGCAACACGGGTCGCGAGCCGCCGCTGTTCGACCGCAGCCCTCTCACCCAGGAGCAGCTGCAGAAGCAGATCTTTGCCAAGTCGGTCCGCGACGTCCGCAAGCTCAAGATCGCCTTCCCCATCCCCGACCAAGGCCCGCATTTCCGTTCCAAGCCTGGCTCCTTCCTCTCCCACTTCATCGGTCACGAGGGCGAGGGCTCCATCCTCTCTCACCTCAAGAAGAAGGGCTGGTGCGACCGCCTCTCTGCCGGCGCGACCGGCGACGCCAACGGCTTCGAGTTCTTCAAGATCTCGATCGACCTCACGCAGGAGGGTCTCAAGAACCACGAAAAGGTGCTCGAGTCCGTCTTCAAGTACATCCACCTGCTCCGCACCAGCAACCTCGAGCAGTGGACGCACGACGAGGTGGCCCAGCTCGGCGAGCTCATGTTCCGCTTCAAGGAGAAGATCGATCCCGCCGACTACGCCTCCAGCACGGCCACGCAGATGCAGATGCCCTACCCGCGCGAGTGGGTCCTGTCCGGCGCCTGGCTTACGCGCGACTTTGACCGCGACCTGATCAAGCAGACGCTCGACCAGCTCACGCCCAACAACTGCCGCGTCGTCGTCATGGCCAAGACGCTGCCTGACGGTAGCACCGAGTGGGAGAGCAAGGAAAAGTGGTACGGCACCGAGTACTCCATCAAGCCGCTCCCGCAGCAGCTGCTCACCCAGGCACCCACCGAGTTCGAGGACCTCCGCCTGCCGCGACCCAACTCGTTCATTCCGGCCGACTTTGACTTCAAGGGCCCGCTCGCCGATGTCCAGGGCAAGAAGCCCACGCCGCGACCGCAGCTTGTCGTTGACAACGACAGCATGCGTGTGTGGCACAAGCTCGACGACCGATTCGGTCTGCCCAAGGCCAACGTCTTCCTCGTGCTGCGCAACCCGCTGATCAACGCCACGCCCTCGACGTCGGTTAAGACGCGCATGTTTGTCGAGCTCATCTCGGACTCGCTCGTCGAGTACTCGTACGACGCATCCCTGGCTGGCCTCAGCTACATGCTCGATACGCAGGACCAGTCGTTGGCGCTCTCGCTGGCCGGTTACAACGACAAGATCCCCGTGCTGGCGCGCAGCATTCTCGAGAAGCTGGCCAACTTCCAGATCGACCCGCGTCGATTCGAGCTGGTCAAGGACCGCGTCAAGCGATCGTACGAGAATTTCGCGATCGAGGAGCCGTACCGCCACGCGGGCTTCTACACGACGTACCTGCTGCACGAGAAGATGTGGACGCCGCAGGAGAAGCTGCGCGAGCTCGAGGAGCTCAGCGTGGGTGCGGTACAGCAGTTCCTGCCCGAGCTCCTGCAGCGCATGCATCTCGAGATGCTCGTGCACGGCAACCTGGCCAAGGCTGAGGCGGTGGAGCTGGCCAACATGGCGTGGAACACCGTCAAGGCGCGTGCGGTCAACAAGAGCGAGCTCGTCTCGAGCCGATCGCTGCTGCTGCCGGAGAGCTGCAACCGCATCATGAAGGTGGAGGCGACGAATGCGGCCAATGTCAACAGCGCCATCGAGTACTATGTGCAGGTGGGCGAGCCGACCAACGTGCAGCTTCGCGCGGTGCTCTCGCTGTTCGAGCAGATGGCCACGGAGCCCGTGTTCGACCAGCTGCGCACCAAGGAGCAGCTTGGCTATCTAGTCTTCAGTGCGATGCGACGCAGTGTGGGCGGGATGGGTTGGCGCATCATTCTGCAGAGCGAGCGCGATGCGTCGTACCTCGAGAGCCGCATCGATGCGTTCCTGGACCAGTTCAAGGCGACGCTCGACAAGATGAGCGAGTCCGAGTTCGAGGGTCACCGACGCAGCCTGATCCACCGTCGGCTCGAGACGGTCAAGAACCTGTACGAGGAGTCGCAGCGCTTCTGGGCGCACATCTTTGGCGGCACGTACGACTTTGCGTCGCGCTATGCGGATGTCGAGGCGATCGCCAAGGTGACCAAGCAAGACGTTGTGGATCTGTTCATGAAGTACATTCACCCGAGCAGCAAGACGCGCAGCAAGCTGTCGGTGCAGCTCAATGCGACTGCCAAGCCTTCGGCGCGCTTCTCGGCGCAGGCGGTGGATGCGCTCGAGCAGGCGGTGGCCTCGCAGGGGCTGACGGTGCCCAAGGAGGCATGGGAGGCTCTGAGGGCGCAGCAGCCTGCGATCGAGAGCGTCAAGGACATGGCGTCCGAGGCGATGGCGCAGAACCCCACACCCGTCCCCGCCGACGCAGTCAAGCAGATGCTCGGTCTCGTCGACAGCTTGTCGGCCCAGTTCCCCTTTGTCGAGGAGAAGGCCGAGGTGTCAACGAGCAATGTGACGAGCGCGGTGCCGGCCGTCGAGGTCAAGGACGCTGTTGCGTTCAAGGCGAGCTTGAACCCGAGCAAGGCGGCTATGCCGGTGGTATCGTTCGACCAGCATGCCAAAGACCCGAGCGGAGAGGGCGACGAGGTGGCCCGTATCGCAGAGGCCGTGTTGAAGGCCACCGCTGCCCCAGCCGCGGTCGAGGACGGCGAACCTAAGGCGAATCTCTAGATTGCGGTAGATCCGAGTAGATAGAAAGCGAGAATTTCCCACACTCTATGAATCTTGATGTCTTGGACCGTGCGTTTGAGAGGGATGAGATGGTGGAGAAATTGGTCGTTTTTGGCGCGCGAGGGTGTGCTTTAGCACCACCACGATGCGACATGGATTCGGTGTATGGAGCTGCAAGTCTGCCTTCATGGGGGTGGTATGACTCGGAACGGGAACGATACGCGCAGCCTTCTCGACCGAGTGCTCGATCAAGTGAGGGAGATGGTGGATATACGCACACACTTGTCTTCCTGCTCAACAGCCGTCAAGTGTTGCTGGGTCTGAAGAGGCGAGGATTTGGTGCTGGGCTGTACAACGGACTTGGCGGCAAACTTTGCGCTGGGGAGACGGCTAGGCAATGTGCGATGCGCGAATGCCTGGAGGAAGCCACCGTTACACCAGCACTCACCTTTACCGGTCGAATCAATATCACCGTCCAACAAGGCGAATCCATCTCGATCGCCCTCTTCAAAGCACCCCTCACTGCGTCAACCATACGAGAAATGAAGCAGTCGCAAGAAGTGGATCCCCGCATCTTTGCGATCAAAGACCAAGGTTGGTGGGAGCAAACTAGACCAGAACTTCGCATCTACTTCCAAATCCTCCTTCACCCCCTTGACTCCCAAAGCGAAGAGACGCTCTTCACCCTAGACATCGAGTTCAACAAGGAACCCACCAAGGACCAGTTGCCGCCAAACGAGCGTCCTGAAAATCATCGCACCCCCAAACAATGGTCCCTCACCCTGCACAATTCCGCATAATCAATCGCCGAACTCTGAAGCTCGCCCGCCTGGGTCAACAGCACCCTCACATTCATGGATGTAGCGCCGGCACAGATCGACATCTGCGGCCATAGAACCTTGAAAGCACCGCATCCCGTCCGATCTGCGAAGTTAAGCAAGGTATCGCCTAGTCAGTACTGCGGTGGGGGACCACGCGGGAATCCTAGGTGCTGCAGTTTTACTTTTTTTGGTCTTTCATTGCAGGGAGGAAGAGTCTATGCGGCCAATGCGAGGATCGAATCTATGCGAGTGAGGTCGCATCGGCACTGCACGCCGAGCGGATCTCGTCCCACTCGCGCTGCGCATCTGCGACGTACTTTTCGAGCGGCAGATCCTGCTGGTCCAGCCCGAACGGCTGTGCCAGCGTTGCCGCAAACGAGTCTACGCCGTAAAGCATTGTGGTGACGACGCCGATGATGGCCAGACACAGCGGCAGCTGGGCGTACAGTCGCTGCGCGACGACGATGGGCAGGAGCAGCGTGTGGATCGCGAGGAGGCGCGAAAAGTGGCGCGAGACCGATAGCGGGATGGGCGTGTCGCGGATGCGCTCGAGATCCGTCATGTGCCCGCTCAGCGCGTTGACGAGTCCGATCGAATGCGCATACACTGGCGAGCTCAGCAATCCCTCTCCCGCCCCATTTTGATGCGACGGCGAGCCTCGGTGCAGCGCATCCAGTGATTGCTGCAGGACGACAAGCGCAGTCAGCGCGAGGTTGGTCGAGATGACGTCGCCGTGGGTGTCTCTGGCGGAGCGCGCGCGCGGGCGCAGCACATGTGGCGAAGCCGTGTTCTGCATCAGCCTACGCTTCTCCTCTTCCGCCGCCTTGTCAGCTTCGTTTGCGTTGGGTATCGAGGATCGGTGGCGATGGGTGGCTGCAATGATGGCGGGAGGGAGCGCGTCGATCAAATCGCTGCGCACGAGGCTGGTGCGACCCGAGGAGAGCTCGAGCGAGCGCGCCCGCATCTCGTACATGAGGCTGATGCTGAAGAACGGCACAGTAGCCAGGGTTGCCTCGATGTGTGCCCGATAAGCCTGATTGCGGGCAAATTCGTGGATGGAGACGGGTGCGGCAGCGTCACTGCCACCAAGGAGCGAGGCGCTCAGGAGACGAAGGAGCGAGCGCGACGTGGCTTGGACGTCGGACCATTTGCGGCGGGCGGTGCTCCAGCGGTCGATGGCGCTGTTGGAGCGGAAGGCGAGCAGGAGGCCTGTCACGGTGGAGAGCGAGGCAATGACTCGATATGCAGCCCAGTCGAGGTCGGCCCAAGTCTTGTCCATGCCGATATCGTTGGAGCCTGGCGATGCAAAGTAGGCGGCATCGATGAAAGAGCGGGCGCGGGTGGGCCATGCGGGCGGCGACTCGGCGAGCGAGGCCCGCTTGACGAAGACCAGCAGCGTGCACCAGAGCAGAGCCAGGATGGTGGGCTGGACTGCATCGCTGAGCTGTTCGGCTCGTAGCATCGCTCGACGCATTTCGGCCACCGGCAGCGCCTCCGAACAAGGTGCCGGGATACGTCGAGCTTGAGTAGCTTCAGAAGCAGTCGGATCGATTGCGATGGTAAAAGTGGATGTATGGGGTTGGAAAGCAAAGCGCAACAGACTGCGTCGGTGCGCGACCGAGTCGACACTGTGACATCCGCAGTAGCCGAACTGCGCATCGAGGCTAGACCCTGACTACGCACACGCCAAGCCGTCCCCACCGCGGACGAACCTTATTCCAACCCGCTGGCCCCATCTGCCTCTATACGCTCTTTCTTCTTCATCGTGACAGCGCGCTCCGCCTCCAGACACCCTCAGCGAATCCAGCGGTCACTGCAGCCTAGTTAGCTCGGCTTGTTCCGACTTGCATCGTGGGAGTGTGATCTCTCAGAAGCTGTAGCTCTGTTGGGAGTGACTGAGCTCGCGGAAGATCCGACCGAGCCAAGGTGGAGGAACATCTGAGCCACGCCTTAACATTTTTGTACTTGCCGCAAATTTTCACATGATGACGCTGCGACGCGTGCGATCTGGGCATCCCGGCGGCATGAGCGCACAGCTTCGCCAAAGGGCAGATGCAGGCGTGCGGCTGTCACAACGCAATCGTGCATGGCGCTTCCTTACATCTCGGGGGATGAAAATTCTCCGCCCTGTTGCTCGGCGACGCACACATGGTCTGGCGTTCAATGAGAGAAGCTGACCGTGTCGCAAACTCAAGCCCACGATGACAATCGAAAGAGCGTATTTTTGCCAGATCTCGCCGTGTTCCGCTCTGGCTTGGTGTCGAGCGCTGAGCTTACCTGAAACCCGGCTCGGAAGCCGCGCGCAAGTCTCGCTCCACCCGGCAATGCAATCCGCTCTTGGCGGCTGTTTGCTGATCCCGCCCTCCGAGGTCGCCGTCACGGATTCGACGAAGAGAGCGCCTGGCAGCGTATAGATCATCGAGATGAATGTCTCGAGAACACGCGGTCCCTTTGTAAGCGGGTCCTGGCACTAGTCTCGTCACAGGCCCGGTCCTCGATGGCTTGTCCGCATTAATTCGCTGAGCAGCCTGCTCTGGAAGTCTCCATCACAGTAGTCATCCTTGGCAGAAGCCTTCCTGCAACCGCTTTGCTCGTCTCTCCGAAAGATCACAGAGCGTCAAAGGTGGCAGGACGAGGATTTTTCAGGCAGAGCAAGGCGAGCCAAAAATATCGCAGACACCGAACGAATGAAGAGGGAGGGAAGAAAAAAAAAGGTGGGGTCCCAATTGTCAAGCGAGGCGATGGTCGTGGCGCTACTCTTCTGCCGAGCAAGAGTCCCTTCGCATACAACGGTAGGGCCTCACCACCCAACGGGCGCATATTTGCAGCCCCGCGCTGCGAGGAGCAAGAAATCGCCGTTTTGCCGAGTTGGCCTAGCTCCCTAGCTCGCCTGCTCCACACGCCCATCCGCATCTTTTAGCCTCGTTTGGTCCCTGCCGCTCCGTGGCCGCGCTCGTCGTGTGAGTGTTGATTTCCATTCAGCCGCCAGCTTCATCCGTCATCGCGATCCCTTCTTCCTCATCAACCCACCGACCTTCATAAAACGGCCATCGCCGGCGCGCATAGTGACGACGACGATCGTTTGGATTCCGCGCACCGCGCCCTGGGCCATAGCTTGCTCGTCTGTTGGCCTCGAATCATCGTGCACCGTCTCCACGGCTTGACCTCGGCGAACGATTGCAGACCCGACTTTCCACACGACCCCATCATCAATTCTCGATCAAAGCACTAGCAAACAACTGTGGACAATCATGACATCCAAGGCAGAGTTTATGGCCAGCGCAGAAGCGCCTGCGCCTGCGCTCACTTCCAGCGTGGGCGGCCTCGCTGCCATCGCAACCCCCGACAATGATAACCGACCACAAGCTCAATCGCGACGCTCGAGCCGCACGTTTGGCAGGACGTCCAACTTCCTTAGCACTACGTTGCTGCGTCCACGCGGCAAGTCCATCTCCACTTCACGCACAGATGAGTGGGGCCGACCGGTGGGCGGCAGCGAAGGACTGGGCACCATCTACAACGCCTCGATGGGCTCGAGAGAGAGGAGCCAAGTCATGCGCAGCGTCACCACCTTGACCAAGAGCAGCGAAAACGACGTGACTGGCGCCGTGGCAGAGGCGTTCTCGGGCAATGCCACACCAAGCCTGTCGCCGCGGATGCGCTTCTTCAGCACTTTCCGTGCCGACAGCTCGAACAATGTTCCCACCGTCGAAGCTCCACCCAGCTACCAAACTCAGCGCTCGGATCTCAGAAGAGGCAGCGAAGGCAGCGTCGTCTCGCATGTCAGTCTTCCACGTCACGACGCTACCTCGTTTCGATCGAGCTTCAGCCGGCGCTCTTCGTCGCGAACCCAGTCGTTCTTTGACGCCACCTCGTCCTCGTTCGCATCCTCAAACAGTTCAAGCCTCAACACTTCGGTTGCAGCGAGCCCGGGCCCAGAGCACGATTCACTCAAGCAGCAGCTACAGTCACGCAGCAACTCGACGCAGCTCGGTGCCGCCGCACGCCAGGCCTTTCGGAACTCCCGGTCTTTCCTCGGCACCTTCGCCAACGGGCCTTCCGACCGTAGCAGTCAGGCAGTGTCCCCTGGTAGCGAAAGGGCTCCCAGTACCTTGCAAGCTGGCTCGCCCAGTCATACAGGCTCGGAAGCATCCGATACCCCCAGAACCTCGCAGCCAGCGACGCCGTCTGCTCTCATGTCGCCAGGCGGTCGGATTCTCGCCGGCAAGGATCCACAGCCAGGTGGAGGTGATGCTGGTGCAGATGCCGTACCACAGGCTTCTGCAGCTGCTGCAAGCGCTCACTCTGCAGCGTCGCGGGCTGTTGCTGCAGGAAGCGAAGGATTCGACGGCTCTTTCGCCGCCTCAAATTCCAGTCTAGCAAACAGCCACGCTCGTCCGATCGGCAAAGCAAATCCGCCGCCACCAACCGAATCGTCAGGTCGCCGTTGCAGTGCCTCTGCTGCTCCCACGCTGCAAGCCGCGCATGAGCGCATTGTTCGCGCCGGCGTCCAGTCGTCTTCTTCGCCTGACGTTTTCAACTCTGGAAATTCGCATTTGCCCACCTCACGCGCCTCGTCGAGTTCCCCCGGCGAGCAGCAGGTGGAGCAGCAGCAGCAACAGCGGGGGCAATCGCCCGAAAAGCGGCGAAACAACGCTACTGCCGCGTCTGCACCTGCACCTGCAGCGTCAGCGTCAGCGACGGAAATCCCACCCGCCCCCGCCGATGTGACTGCAGCTTGCATTGGACCTCGCGTCACCGCCGCGGCACCTCCTCATCTGCATGCCGCCGCCGTACAGGCACGGCTCGATGCCCCGTCCTCTGCTGCTTCCCCAGCCCATGTCCAGCCGGGAACTGCCTCCGCATCGCTTTTGCTGCCGCTTGCTGCTGCTCCCGCCCACTCGCTGCCTGCTAGTTCAGGCTCGACTGGCCCGCAGTTGTCCGCTTCCGCTTCAGCTCAGCCGCAGTCTCGATCGGCC